CGAAAAACCTCAAACTGGGATTGTACACTTGTGTCAATTATGGTTCTACTGACTGTGAAGTTCTCTCTCTCTCTGTGTGCATTTGTATTTAGATACAAACATTCTTCAGTAAGCCTGAGACACTCAATTTGGCAATCTGCTTTCAAGAATACCATAACATCAGCAAAACCACATCCTCTGCTGGTTGCTGAAGAAAGTATGAGTTCCCAGTAAATATCCCCCGCTCTCCAGTAAACAGAGCAGGACTGTATTTGTTCCTTCCGTGGCTTGTGTTGTTGCGTTGGTTATGGAATTAGGAATGTTGGAACCAGCTGTTACTCTGTCTCGTATTACAGTCCCGATAAGCTTGTAAAGGAAGCCCGCCATTTGTGAGATTGTGTTGTGTAATATGTGGAAGCAGCTCTTGCCTCGATTGACTTCACTGTGTTTATCTGTAAAGGGGAAGAAGAGGCATGACTCTAGACTGCTCTCCTAGATGACATTGTATCCACTGAAGCAAGATTTCATATACATATTTATTGTGTTAACCATTTTGTTTTCTAGGCAGTGTTTAGTCAGCTGAGAAATATTTATTGGGTTTGTATATTGAGTAAGTTTTTTATGTGTTACTGTTTGTAATATATTAAGCAGTAACTAGAAAACAAGATTAAGAAGACCTGTTCTTCTCTGTACTAGGAATTTATAATCTTCTAGAGACATGTCTTTGACCTGGAAAAAGTTAAAAGCCTAATTACCAGGCAGCATGTAAGCGACTAGCTAGGAGTGTTAGAGGAAGAAATAGTCAGTATGACCATATTTCTTGGAGATTCACAGATGAACTGGGAATTGAGGTAAATGGGTTGGATTTAGTTAAGTGGAGACACGAAAGATTCTATAAAATAGTTATACAATAGTTAACTATAATAAAATAGTTATAAAATAGTTAACTATAATATTCTATAAAATAGTTATACACTGCACGTATAGTAAGAGCACAGTGTAGAGGACAGAAAGAAATCTATCCTAAAAAAGTTATGAGGCAGACAGTGACAGATACAAAATGTAAAAATAAAAAACCGAGGTATATAAATCCCAACAAACCTGTAGAAAAGTGGAGTGTGTACAAGCATGTGAGTTTGTGCAAAACCCACAGTGTAAACTGTTTTCTTAACAGCTTCATCAGTGTGTAGTAAAGTATTGTAATACTTGATTAAAGTACCCACTGAAAAAACATCCCTTCCTATGTCAGTTCCAGGCAAGGCCAATTTACTAAGGACTTCCATGGTTCTATGTACTGTATATACCTTGTATACGTCAAGTCCTTCAGTGTTTGCTGTTCTATGCCTGGCTAATTGAATTAGCATAATGTCTTCAACGTTCATCCATCTTGAAACACATGAAAGAGGTCCTTCTTCTTAAAGCTAAAAATTGTATCATTTGTATACAATACATTTTCTCTACTCAGTAATCAATGGGCAATAGAGGAACCAGACTCTTGGCTGTTGTAAACAATGTGTCATCAAATACAGACATGCAGATCTGATGGCCTGTTTACAGTTCTTTTGAATATATAACAGAAGTCATTTGTCCACATTGTAGTGGGCTGTGTCGATCTTTGAAACTGAGCTGTAGGAGACATTTTCATTTTGATGCAATATCGGATATGTGGTTTTGCTGACATTCTCTTCCATTCCGTAGGTTGCCTTTCAGTGTGTTGTTAATTTCCTTCTTGGTATGTGAGCTTTCAGTGTGAGATCATCTCACTTCATTCTCTGTATGTTTGATGCTCGTGCTTTGATGTTACATCCAAAATCAGCAGTGCTCTGACATTTTCCCATGTTTTCTTCTACAAGAACTGTGTGGTTTGAGATCTCCTGTTCAAGTCTAATCCATTTGAGCTTGTTGTGGGCAGGTATTAAAAGAGGGCTCAGTTTCATCCTGAAATAACCAGTTTTCTCAACAGCATTGAAGAGACTGCCCTTTTCTCATTGGGTGGCGTCCTTACCAAGAACTCTTTGATGGGTTTGCTTTTGCGATTTTCTAATCTGTCAGCTTAAGTATTGCGTGTTTTCATGGCAGTTTGCAGGTTGGTGATTTATTTGCATGTCATTGTGTGATTTCTTTTAAGGTCAGGAAGCATGACAACTCCAGCTCTGTTTTTCTTTCCGAGAGTTTGTAATATTGCGGTCTTTGGGGTTCTCTATGCGTTTAGGGTTTTTTGGGTTTTTTGTTTTGTTGTTGTTCTGTTTTTTTTTTCCCTGCTCCTACAAAAGACAACCCTGGAGTTTTATTATCAAGCATTGAATGTGCTGGTCTTCTTCTGCATCCTGGGAATTTGAACAATATTAACCTTTCAAAACCATCTACACATAATATCTTTTACTTTATCTGGTCATCTTTACCGGCTCTTTTGTTCACTCCATGGTTTCCCTGGAGGTGGGAATTAAGAGTGGGGAAGGCTGTCCTGTCTTCTGCTCACTGCTGAACCAACCACGGTCTCGAGGGATGCTGAATGAGATGACTAAATTCAGTCCCTGTCGCACATCAACCATTACATTTAGAGTTAGAGATATTTAACCTCAAACCACAAAGTCAAGGGTGGAAACACGTTTTCCTTGGGGAAAATTAAAGTGATTTTTGTCATAAACGTATTAATGTGTTGGACTAACATAAAATAGTATATCCTCATTTCCATTCCCTAACACATCTTTTCCTTTTAAAAACAGGAAAAGTCCATTAAAAATTATGTTACTAGCCATGTGTTGTAGTTTCTTGAGTGATAATACTCATGTCACAGACTTGCAAGCATGCACACTGAAGCTAAGCAGACATTTTCCATTTAGTCTTATTTGCATTAAAGCAGGAGCAAGACCTACAGAAAGGTCCCACATGGTGTTTTGCAGATGAGCTCCAGAAATAAACGCTCAAGTCACCAGGGCACACTTACTCTTCAACTCCATCTAGTTATTTTCTGCAATTAAATAAGATTTTTAAAAAACTTTTAAATTGTGACAGAAACATTGTACCTATTAAGCAAAATAAACTTAGAAAGGTTTTGCATAAAGCTTTCATGACACTGCACATTTGTAACAACACTGCTAAGAAAATCCCATGTTGACTAGATGTTGTGTGGTGTTGAGTGAACTGGAAAATCATTTGTACAGTTATTTTGAACAAGTTTGCATTCAGAAACCAATTGGTTTTTAACATGTTTTATTTTTAACAAGAGAATTTAATAATCTTAAAAGTCTCAGTGGTGAAGCTCATTTCTTCTGCAAATTGCTCTTTTCATGTATGAAAGAGTTGAAGGACCCTTTATGTGAATAACAAATGACACTATTATTCTCACAACAGACTTCTGCGATACTTTATGTAATGTATATATTTACTGTCAGAATAACAGTTGGGTCAATTGCTTTTTGATTGTTTTTTAATTAATTTATTTTTTAATAAATTACAGTTTATTCACTTTGTATCCCAGAAATAGCCCCCTCCCTCAATCCCTTCCAATCCCACCCTCCCTCCCTCATCTCCTCCCATGTCCCTCTCCAAGTCCACTGGTAAGGGAGGGCCTCCTCTCCTTCCTTCTGATCCTAGTTTATCAGGTCTCATCAGGACTGGCTGCATTGTCTTCTTCTGTGGCCTGGTAAGGCTGCTCCCCCATCAGGGGGAGGTGATCAAAGAGTCAGCCACTGAGTTCATGTCAGAGACAGCTCCTGTTCCCATTGCTAGGGAATCCACTTGGAGACTGAGCTGCCTTGGGCTACATCTGTGCAGGGGTTCTAGGTTATCTCTACACATCCTCAGCTGGAGTATCAGTCTCAGAAAAGACCCCTGTGCCCAGATTTTTTGGTTCTGTTGCCCTCCTGTGGAGCTCCTGTCCCCTCCAGGTCTTTCTATCTCCCCTTTTTTTCATAAGATTCCCTGCACTCTGCCCAAGTTTGGTTTGAGCCTCAGTTTCTGCTTTGATACGCTGCCTGGTAGAGTCTTTCAAAGGCCCTCTGTGGTAAGCTCCTGTCCTGTTCCCTGTTTTCTCCATCATCTGATCTCCATCCCATTTGCCTTTCTGAATGAGGATTTATCATCTTACCCAGGGTCCTCCTTCTTGCTTAGCTTCTTTAGGTGTAAAGATTTTAGTATGTTTATCCTATATTATATTTCTAATATCCACTAATAAGTAAGTATATACCATGTGTGTCTTTCTGCTTCTGAGATACCTCACTCAGGACATTCTTTTCTAGTTCCTACCATTTGCCTGCAAATTTCATGATTTCCTTGTTTTTAATTGCTGAGTAGTATTCCATTGTGTAAATGTACCACAGTTTCTGTATCCATTCCTCCACTGAGGGACATCTGGGTTGTTTCCAGGTTCTTGCTATTACAAATAAAGCTGCTACAAACATGGTTGAGCAAATATCCTTGTTGTGTATTTAAGCATACTTTGGATATATGCCTAGGAGCGCTACAGCTGAATCTTGAGGAAGCACTATTCCTAATTGTCTGAGAAAGAGCCAGCTGATTTCCAAAGTGGTTGTACAAGTTTACATTCCCACCAGCAGTGGAGGAGGGTTCCCCTTTCTCCACATCCTCTCCAGCATGTGTTGTCACTTGAATTTTTATCTTAACCATTTTGATGGGTGTAAGGTGAAATCTCAGGGTTGTTTTGATTTGCATCTCCCTGATGACTAAGGATAATGAACATTTCTTTAAGTGTTTCTCTGACATTCGATATTCCTGTTGAGAATTCTGTATTTGTTCTAAAAGAGTTAGAAGAAGAATTGTTCTAAAAGAGTTCTGAAAGTTGAAAAATAACAAAGAATTATTTGAACCTTAACATGTTGCTTAAGATCAGATTTATTGCCTTTCTTGATCTAAACACTTTGTGGATTTGCTCAGCCTCCATCTCATCTCATTTTGATAACTCTAAATGAGAAATGATGCCCACCTCTGTGGTAATGTTGGCTGATAAAAAATGTATACATGTGTAATTTTTGTCTTCTGTATTTGCATTGCTTTTATAGGGACACCTTGGAAGCAGAGGGGCCCCTGGGCCTCCAGGTCTGAAAGGAGCTCAGGTATGGAGGAAACTAATGTCTAGTCAGCAAGTTTTTAGTTAGAATTTCTGTTTTATTTTATTCTCATGATAATTCAGTCTTTACCTGATGAAAATAATTTCCTTAGTACAATTTTTGCTGTAAAGAAGTTCAAGTTATTTATATTGGCACTTATACTATGAAATTTTCAATCATTTTACAGAGTTCTAGGCTTTTTGGTGATTTATTTCAGTGGTCACCAACAGAATGTTGAAGAATCTGAAATGAGAATGAAACTTACATGTATTATAATTCATATTTACTACTTGTGACTATTTTATATTTGTGACTTAATTATACTTAATTGACTTACAAGTTGAACGAAGTGTCTGTTCATCAAGTATATAAGTCATATGATGCTAAGGAGGGTGTACATAGGCTACCAAGAGTGATTACATAAGCTAATACTACCAACTATCCATTTAAAGGTGAAAAGTCAGTACAGTTCAGCAATACATTTGTAAATGGAACACACTTGCTTTTCTTCTTGGAAAATTAGGCCTAGAAGTTGCTTATCTTTGACCATATTTATCTCCAGTCTCTTTTTAGCATTCAGTTTCCATCCTCACAAGATTATACCAGATGTTTACATGTTGTGGCATTATAGCTATTTTGACCCTAAGATAGTGTGGCAGTAAATCGGTTAAGAGTACAGCATTTGATAGTAAGCGCCATATGGGTAGGGTATAATGTGCTTTGAAAGCTCCTTTCAGACAGGAGCAGGTGTGCTTTTGTGTGTCTTGAGTCTCAGGCAAAACTAAAATTTAAAAACTTGTGCATTTAGCCAGGTATGCCAGCATATACTTGCAAAGCTGAGGCAGGAGGTTCACAAGTTTGAGGCCAGTCTGGACTACAGAAGAGACTCAGTCTTAAAAGAAGTAGCAGGAGGAGGAGAAAGAGGAGGAAGGAGAGGTTGGATGAATGAATGAATGATCAAGTGGCCTTAAACACATTCTGTATAAGTGATTATTAAATATACCATAAATATGTGTGTTGATTTTCATCTGCCAAGACTTAGAAATTATTCTTAATTACTTTAATCTCCTCCAAACCTAATTTCCTGTATATATCACGTGCCATCTACTAATTTAAAAAGCAATCCAATGTTATGTGTTCCTTTAAGCAAATGTGGTATAATTCCAAAAATATTAAAACATGGGAGGATTGGATTCTAAAATATAAGAGAATTATAGCAGGGTTTTTGTTGTATCCCTAACGAGCTTCAGATTTCAGAATAAAAACAACAGATAAAGGTTTCTATTTTAAAACGCTGTTTTAGGTCACGGTTTGTTCTGACTTTTTTCTAAGGGAGAAGAAGGATCAATTGGGCCCTTTGGAGAACTAGGATCAAGGGTAAGTATCACAAGACTTGATTCCCTAAATTCTGATAAGGTGGTGCCTGCCAGTAACTTCAGTATGTGGGGAAAAGGCAAGAAGATCCTGAGTACAAGGCCTGCCTGTGCATAATAACAAGTTCCAGGCCAGCCTCAGGTATACTGTAAGACCTTGTCTCACTGGGAGGGTCCGGAAGGAGGAAAAGGAAGAGATAAATGGTGTAAATGTATTACTATCTCAAAAATGTCTCAAGGTTAAAATTTTTAATTATGTAATTTGGGGTAGAAAAGTAAAGTTACTTTTTGTTTCATGGTTGCTGAAGAAAAATATAATATATACACTCTCAAGATAAATTAATTTATTAAAATATCTTTCTGCATGTGTTTGTCTTTAAAACAACTGTCTTGTAATATTTATTTTAAGAGTATAACATTTCAATTAATGACAAAAGGCAAAAACTAGAACCATTATGATCCTAAAATACCCTGAAATAAAGTTAGGTGATAACTGGATTTTTCTAGAGATTTTTTTTCTCCTCCAGAGCAGAGAGATGACTTCAGAATCTTGTACATGCTAAGAAGGACTTGACTGCCCAGCTAAATTCCCGACCCATTGATTTTATTAGTAATTATCACTAATCACTTTCCCAGTAGTTTTTATCTTAGGAATTTATGAAAATTATTTGAAGGGTTCCCAGTAATTCTAAATAAGGTAATTTTAGCGCTACTTCTGAGAATTTCTGACTAATCAATGTGCTAATACAGAAATTATAGAAAACTAGTAGATAGTTTCCCCACCCCAATTTTACTCAGATGGTAGTTTCCCCACCCCAATTTTACTCAGATGGTACTCTCTTGTGATATACAAACTATTGCTTTCTAAGTACTGGAAATAGATTTTTTTTTGTATGGATGACCAAAGCTTGCAATTTAAATAATTAGGATGTGTGTGCTGTATTTAAGAGGCACTGAACTACTGTGAAGGGTGTCTATTTCTTTGTAAATGTCACAAACTAAACATCCTTTCTTTTAAATTTTTTAATTTATTACAATTTATTCACTTTGTATCCCAGTTGTAGCCTTCTCTCTCATCCCCTTCCAATCCTACCTTCCCTCCCTCTTCTCCTCCCATGGACCTTTTCAAGTCCACTGATAGAGAAGGTCTTTCTCCTCTTCAATCTCACCCTAGCCTATTAGGTCTCATCAGGACTGGGTGCATTGTCTTCCTCTGTGGCCTGGTAAGGCTGCCCCCCCAGGGGGGAGGTGATCAAAGAGTCAGCCACTGAGTTCATGTCAGAGACAGTCCCTGTTCTCCTTACTAGGGTACCCACTTGGATACTGAGCTGTCATGGACTGCATCTGAGCAGGGGTTCTAGGATATCTCCATTAATGGTCCTTGGTTAGAGTATCAGGCTCAGAAAAGACCCCTGGGCCAAGATTTTTTGGTTCTGTTGCTCTTCTTGTGGAGCTCTTGTCCCCTCCAGGTCTTTAGTTTTGCTTTGTATTGAGTGTGACAATAATTATTCACTTGAGCCCTTTTTCACAGGCATACGCATTAGTTCCTTTGAACCAGTGTTCCTTTTCATATGAAAAGAAAACATTTAGATTTTTGAAAGAAAGAGCATGTAATGGAAAAATTGTTATGTGAGCCTGGTAAAACTGATGTCATTTTCAACAAAATCATGGAAGAAAACTTCCCCAACCTAAAGAAAGAGAGGCCTATAAACATGCAAGAAGCTTACAGAGCACCAGATAGATTGGGTCAGAAAAGAAAATCACTCCTCCGCATCCTCTTAAAGCAGAGTAGGCTCACAACTGTCCTCCACTGATTGCAGCTACTCAGTTTCTGGTCTTCCCTTTTTACTCTGCCTTTTGTCTTGTTTTGTAAACAGTTTTGTGAACAGTTTTACGATCTTATTAAAGGCAGAATTTTTACTTTCACTTTTCATTTCTCCACATCCTTTGGTGATTCAGAGAACCCACCCAGTAATTCTTCCCTCTAATGCTCCACCTCTGACCATTCTCACCAGCGCGCAGACCTGCTGTTCTTTCTGCCCCTTCAAAAACTAAAGCAGAATGCGCATAAGTTGCTGTCTCTTCTGAGGGCCTTCCACTCCAGTCCCCTCACAGTAAGACTTCCCTGTATGTGTTTTTGCTGGTTCTTTGCTGTCGACCTGCTTAAGCCACTTCGGTCCCAGCACTTCTCCAACAACGATGGCAGGGGGATCAGTTGCTTCTGCTACTGAATCCACCAGTCATCTCCCAACCCTTGTCGTCTCATAGTAACCGATACTCATATCCCTGAGAATTTGTTGAAATCAATCTGTCTTCTGGAAATTATTTTATTTATCTACATGATTTTCTTCTAGATCTCTGGTATCAATTTTCCTAATATGTTAATTTTGTCAAATCCAAAACATTTTAAAATCCCAAGTCTTAGAATATAAACTTCTCTTTTCTAACAAATCCCTCTACTTCCTAGACAAGTCTATGTGTTTTATCAATTGAAATAGCATCATTGATGACTTCTAGAAAAATATCTTTGGATCAGAATTTTATGCTCTTGACCTCTGTACGTAGGTGTCTAGCAGCCATATTAACTAAAATGTTCAAAACTCAGCTTCTAATTTGCCATCCAGCCTATTCTCTGGGCCTTTCTCATTTCAATTATCTAGTTACTCAAATAGAAAATAGTTGTCAATGCAAAAGCACAACCATCACCTCAAAAGAATAAGAGTTTATTTTGGAGCAAAAAAAAAAAAAAAAAAAAAAAAAAAGAGTGATCATGCCCACGAACACAAATTCAGGTTACTTTAAATTTCATGTTCTAATATAGTAACAGTTTCATGAAGCTTGTGAGGTAACAGAAGAAAGAAAAATTTTTAAATCACAACACTTTGCAGTTACATTTGTGGAAACACTGGTTGGACAAGTAGGTTCCAGAGAAGTGGGGAAATCGCAGCTCTGGGTCTCAGTTATCTGACTACGGTCTTGGGCTTTCGGTTGGTGGAAGCTAGCTCTCTGCACATTCCAAAAGCCATCCCTAACAGTCACAGAGATGTTAGGTCGCATACAGCGGCAATAAACGACTAATTAAGGGGACTGAAAACTGACCCGTGGAATTTTGGCTCTGGACCAGCCACATTCCAAACTCTGCACAATCATTGGTGTTATCAGTTAATCCTATTGGCCGATGGTCCAGCTGCAGGTCCCCCCCACACACAAGGATCTTTCACAGAGTTCATACTGACTCCTCTCCTCTTCTACCAAATTCCCTATGTAAATCATGAGCCGTTCCTGAAGCTCTGCCATCGTCATCCTGAGTCCTGCCGGTTCTCACGGCTGCCTCTGCAGCAACCCTGATCCGTACCATGGTGTCCCTCACTAGACCATTGCAGTAGAGTCCCATCTGCATGCTATCCTTCTGTCTTTGCTTCAAGGAGGTCCTGCTGAACATGCATCACACTGCATTTCATCTCAAAGCTCACCTAAGGCTTCCTCCCTCACTCTGAGTAAAAGCCAAGTAACCTCTTTAGCTTATAAGGCCATATATGATCCTGTTTCCCGTTCCCCCACTCTCTTTTTGACTTCATCTTCTGCATCTCCATCTCCACTTCAGCCATATTAACTCCTCGTGGGTGCTCTGGTATTCCATACAGTCTTCCTAAAGTACATTTGCCTGCACCTGGATTGGTGTGCCTTGTCATGTCAACATGCTTGTTCCTTTTTAAAATCTCTACTCAGGTGTCACCTTCTCCTTGAGCTCTTCTTCTACAGAAACCCTACAAAAATGTGAAGCAAACTCCCCCAAGAGTTGACATCTCCCTTCCCTGCCTAATTTGTTGTTCTTCGTATTTACCACTACCGGACATAACATATGTTTGCATACACATATGCGTGTATATGCGTGCATACATGCACATTTTAAAATTTGTGTCACCTTCACTGAAGTGTCAGTTCTGGGAAGACAGATGTGTGTAACACCCTCTCCATCCTCACAACCGAGAACTGTACGTGACACTTCGGAGACACTCGAGTATTTGAGGTCTGAATGGCTACTGAATGTGAGAAGAGATCATCGAATATTTTGAAGCTGCCCATTTCATAGAACAGACTGCCCTTCCTAAACCTTAGGACACCTTTATAAGTGATGATCACTAAATATATTTTATAGTTATTGGTTTTTCTTTCCTTTTTTTCTTTTAGGGAAAACCAGGTCGAAAAGGGAATATGGGTGAACCAGGGCCAGAAGGCTTGAAGGTAAAGTGCCTGAAGTTTTTATCAGTTTGAAAATACATATTTTCAAAAGGATAAAGTTATGACTTTTATACAAATTATGCGAACAAATTTCAACTTATGGGGTACCAGTAAAATGTTTAAAATGTCTAAAGAGAAATTTATAAGCCATGTCTGTCCATCTGTGTTTGTATAGGTATTGGTATTTCTATAGGTATACTATTTAATAAAGAAATATTAAGATACACTTTAAAATGTTTGCAAAAGAGAAACAAAGTAAAACCAAATAATAAACTCTATGCAACATAATAAATACATATTAGGATAATATTTGTGGGTTAGATACAGGGCAATAAATATACATGTTAATATCTCTCTATTAGGCATGGGTTCTTTAACAAACAGCTAACCATGGGTCCACCTGAGCCTTTTCCTTGCACAGTCACTGAGTAGCCTCACCACTGGATGGCTTTGAAAGGATGCACAAGCCAATCATTTTTTCTTGCTTTGCTTCCATGTTTTAGATGATCTTTTCAACAACAAACACAAAACAGCACAGAGATTCAATGTGTGGAAGAGACCAGCTTATAGGGACTATTAAATTTGCAAAGTTAGATTTTAAAACTCATCAATGACACAGTGTTATTTACAATTTTCACAAGTTAACGCTTGTTTCATATTTTCTGAACACATAATTTTTATGTCATTAAATCCTATAAAAGAGCTAGACATCAACATTTAGGTTAGTGAAAGAAGATGACTTAGAGCACTTTTAATGTATCAACATGTTGATAGCTAAAAGTACTAGGAAAAACTGTGCCTAGTTTTCTCAAATTATATACAAAACTCCAGAAGAGAGATTTAAAACCAGAAAGCTTAAGCAATTCACTTTCCTGAGATTAATCTATATCCTATTAAATAGAACTAAGAAATTCAGTGTTGAGCTGTAATGTTGAGAAAGTGGCTCTCAGTCATTAGCAAAAGAATCACAAGAGAAGCCTCTGCTACCAAGGAACCTGAAGAAATCCTTCAATGACTGTCCCTCCTTAGCTTTCACTGCCCCTGTGACTTGTGTCAACATGTGTCCCATGAAACACTTGGGAGTTGGTGAAGAGTTACCACCTTCCTTCAACCCTAGTCTCTGTCACTGTCTCCTTCTCTGTTTCTGTCTCTGTCTTTATGTCTCTATGCCTGTCTCTATCTCCCTGTCTCTCTGTGTGTCTCTGTCTCTGTCTTTCTTTCTTCCTTCCTCTCTGTCATCTCTTCCCTTATTCTCTGCTCTCACACTATCCCATCTTTCCCTTCTTCCTTCCTTCCTTCCTTCCTTCCTTCCTTCCTTCCTTCCTTCCTTCCTTCCTTCCTTCCTTCCTTCCTTCCCTGTTTTTCCCATCTCTTCCCTTTCTCTCTTTTATCTAAGTCAAGGTTGTCCTTCCCTTTACCTTCTGACTCTCTGAACGTTAAAGAAGAATGCAGAGCACTTGCAAGCCACTTTCACCCTTGGCCTTCAAACAAACCTCCTGTACACAAGAGAAGGTTATCAACTTTAATGGGAAAAGACAGTTTTTGAATGAGGAAAGAAACAGAGTAGAAAACTAACTATTCATAGGTTATCCTGCCATCAGCTTCCTACAAAAGCTCTCCAAACAACAAGAAACCCAGAACTGCTAAAACAATTCTCTACAGTAAAAGATCTTCAGGAGGTATCTCCATCCCTGATCTCAAGCTGTACTATAGAGCAATAATACTAAAAACTGTGTGGTGCTGGCATAGAAATAGACTGGTGGATCAATGGAATCGAATAGAAGACCCTGACATAAATCCACACACTTATGGACACCTGATTTTTGACAAAGATGCCAAAACCATTCAATGGAAAAAAGACAGCATCTTCAACAAATGGTGCTGGTCTAACTGGATGTCTACATGTAGAAAAATGCAAATAGATTCATACTTATCACCCTGCACAAAACTAAAGTCCAAGTGGATCAAAGACCTCAACATAAAACCAGACGCACTAAACCACTTAGAAGAAAAAGTGGGGAATACCCTTGAACTCATTGGCACAGGAGACAACTTCCTGAACAGAACACCAACAGCACAGGCTCTAAGATCAACAATCAATACATGGGACCTCATGAAACTGAAAAGCTTCTGTAAAGCAAAGGACACTGTTGTCAGAACAAAACGACAGCCTACAGATTGGGAAAGGATCTTCACCAACCCTATATATGACAGAGGACTAATATCCAGTATATATAAAGAACTAAATAAGTTAAACAGCAAAAAAATCAAGCAATCCAATTAAAAAAAATGGAGTACAGAGCTAAACAGAGAATTCTCAATAGAAGACTATTGAATGGCAGAGAAACACTTAAAGAAATGCTCAACCTCATTAGCCATCAGGTAAATGCAAATCAAAATGACCCTAAGATTTCACCTTACACCCATCAGAATGGCCAAGCTCAAAAACTCAAGAGACAACATATGATGGAGTGGTTGTGGAAAAAGGGGAACCCTCCTCCACTGCTGGTGGGAATGTAAACTTGTACAACCACTCTGGAAAGCAATCTGGCACTTTCTCAGACAACTAGGAATAACGCTTCCTCAAGATCCAGCTATACCACTCCTAGGCATATACCCAAAAGAGGCTCAAGTACACAATAAGGACATTTGCTCAACCATGTTTGTAGCAGCCTTATTTGTAATAGCCAGAAGCTGGAAACAGCCCAGATGCCCCTCAGTGGAGGAATGGATGCACAAATTGTGTATATCTACACAATGGAATATTAATCAACAATAAAAAACAAGGAAATCATGAAATTTGCAGGTAAATGGTGGGATCTGGAAAAGATCATCCTGAGTGAGCTATCCCAGAAGCAGAAAGATGCACACGGCATATACTCACTCATATAGACATATAATATAGGATAAACCTACTAAAATCTGTACACCTAAAGAAACTAATCAAGAGGGAGGGCTCTTGCTAAAATGCTCAATTCCTATCCAGAAAGGCAAAGGGGATGGACATCAGAAGAAGGAGAAAAGAGGGGACAAGTCAGGAGCCTGACACAGAGGACCTCTCAAAGGCTCTGCCCTGCAGACTATCAACACAGATGGTGAGACTTATGGGCAATCTTTAGGCAGAGTGCAGGGAATCTTACGAAAGAAGTGGGAAACAGTAAGATCTGAGGAGCACAGGAACTCCACAAGGAGAGCAACAGAACCAGAAAGTCTGAGTACAGGGTTCTTTCCTGAGACTGATACTCCAACCAAGGTCCATGCATGGAGATAACCTAAGACCCCTGCACAGATGTAGCCCATGGCAGTTCAATATCCAAGTGGGTTCCATTGTAATAGGAACAGGGACTGTTTCTGACAATGAACTGATTGGCCTGCTCTTTAATTACCTCCCCTTGAGGGGGAAGCGGCATTACCAGGCCACAGAAGAAGACAATGCAGCCACTCCTGATGAAACCTAATTGACTAGGATCAGAAGGAAGGAAAAGAAGACCTCCCCTATCAGTGGACTTGTGGAGGGGCATGCATGCAGAGGGTGGAGGAAGGAAGAGATTGGGACTGGAGGAGGGAGGGAACCACAGTGGGGATACAAAGTGAATAAAGTGTAATTAATAAAAAAAACTCTCCAAATGAGTTCTTTATTGATAACTAGCACTGTACCTTACAATGTCACTGTAGCCACTTATCAAAACATATAGAAACTGAACAGGAAACTTGTACAGACTATTCCTCATGATGAGTATCATGTTTCAGTACATAAAATCAGTGTGACTTTGTAGGCAGGTAACATGAAGCCCAGAGGTGCATCGTAGTGTAGAATAAAGAGAACAAATAAGCTTTGTTTTAATACTCTAATGCATACGAGGCATAACTTGTATGTGTCACCCTTCCCATGTGTAATCAACATTGAAAACATTGTTAAGATGCTTTTCAGTCCCTTCACAATGATATGTATTTTACACTTATATTATCTATCAGGTCAGCCAGCCCATGCCACATGTCACCAGTGGCCACCATATTGTTTGATATCTTAACATCTCAGTACCCCACATTTCAATTTTATTCTTAATTTTAATTTTTAACTTTATCAAATTTTCTATAAAAAGAACTGTAGATCCCTGTCGCATCCACTATGTGTGGTATTTCAAACTCTGCCTTCTACCTGCTGTCAGTCCAAGCTTACCTTCTTCTTATACAAGTTCCCCCACTGAAGTGGCCCTTCCATATCCCTGCTCTGCACCCCTTGCTTGCAGGGCACAGCTCCAGTGAGTTTCATCACTCAGCCTTTGGAGTTATGAAGTGTAATTCAGGTTGTGTAGTGTGTCATACTCCACACCTGCCGTGGGTCATGAGTAGCATGTCCAAGCCAGATGCATTAAAACCCCTGCACGAAAACACAGGTGTTTTCCAATTTACTGGGCAAAATAAGAACCCTGAAAGGATTTTATTAGGTTAGAAATTGGTGTCAACAAGCTCCTCTCTATGACACAGGCAGTGTGGTCTGTAGGACACTTCCAGTTTGAAGAAGGGTAAGCTTTGATCAGTTTTTCATTATCATGCGAAATTACCTATTCTAGTTACTAAAACTGCAGTAGTGAATAGTCTGGTATTCAAGAATACAATGTACTAAATGCTTTTTGAAAATTAAGCAATGATAAATAAATCATACTTACACACACACACACACACACACACACACACACACACACACACAAATGGCTCAGAGGTTAAGAGCACTGGCTGTTCTTCCAAAGGTCCTGAGTTCAATTCCAAGCAACCAGATGGTGACTCACAAATAACTCAGATTAGGACAATTTTATCACTGAATGAATTGTGGAAGCCTTTGGATTCACAGAACTTGTGGACTACAGGACCACACTCAGTGGTTCCAAACAAACCTCCCTTCTCCAGCGGCCAGCTCTGCTGATGGAGCACACTGGCTCTTGCCCTGAGGACAGCCCTAGAATAACCTATCTTGTAAATACGGAATCCTCTGTGGCTAGGGCTTTAATTATATTCTTAACATCTTTATGCATTTAAAAGCCTTTTTTGATTTATTATTTCTGTGTGTGTGTGAGCACAAGCATGCCACAGTGCACAGGTGAAGGTCAGAGGACAACTTTCAGGATTCGGTTCTTTCCGTCCACTCAGGTGTTCTGTATTGGTGGCGGTGCCTTTACTCTCTGAGCAATAGTTGAAAAATAACACAATAAAATATTTCATTAAGAATGTATTTATTAAAGATTTTAATGTGTACAGGTGTTTGACTACATGGATTTCTGTATTAAAAGTGTGCAGTGCCCATGGAGGCCAGAAGAGGGCACTGGATCCCATGAAACTGAATTTACAGTGCTGGGGTCTGGGTGCTGGAGTCAAACCTGGGCCTTCTGGAAGAACAGCCAGTGCTCTTAACTGTTGAGCAATCTTTCTCCAGCCCAAAATATGTTTTATAAATGACTGAGAGTAATGAATAGGGAAATGTGGCTTCAATATGTAAATAATTATTGTTTGAATAAAAATGGGGAAAATGCCACATTTCATGAAAGTTCTATAAATAAGTTTGAATAACTGAAATTGCCTTTGCTTTTTTTTTCCTATTACAACTAGATAATTATGTAAAATGGAAACAGAAGAGCTGTCATCATTTAAGCTGTTGCCAAATAATCATTTTTGTGATTTTTATATTCTTGATCAACAGGGAGAAATAGGAGACCAAGGAGATATTGGGAAAATTGGCGAAACAGTAAGCTTGTTTTATACTCTTATTTTTATTTTTCACTATCCATGTTTCTTGGGAATTATGTTAACCATGATCTGTTAGCTATTATTGTGTTAGCAAGAACTGAAATAAAATTTATATACTACCGATTTAGGTGCATTTGTCTATTGACAAATACAAAACTACAATACAAAAGAGGTATTAAGAAAAAAAACAGTAAATATTTTCACTGAATATAAACTATGTTTATGATATCAGGAGCATTTTTCTTTTTGGTATTTGATATTCCATTTCGGTTCCATTAACTTCAGTCTAAATTTTACCTTTTAAAAAAGAAACTTAAACAAGATATGGTTGCAAATGCCTGTAATTCCAGCACTCTGCATTTGGAGGATGAGGCAGGGGGTTCCTGAGTTCAAGATCAACTTGGTCTACACAACAAAACACTATCTCAAAGAATAAACAACCACAAAAAGCTGATTAGATCATAATGTAGTATGCATTAATAAACTGATTTCACATTTGAAAAGTAGGAGTCAAGCAAAAGCACTGATTTGTCAAGTATATAATTATTTTTCCCAAATGAAGTGTGTTTAGGTTTACGTTACTGTTGTAACAAAAAGCTCCATGTAATTTTTAAAAAGAGGCATTGTTTTGAGTCTGCTTCTGAGTGCAGTGCTCACAGGGGCCAGAAGAGGGCAGAAGAGCTGGCTTTGCAGCAGTTGTGAACTGCCAGACAAGGGCACTGGGAACTGAATTTGGGTCATCTGCAAGAGTGCTCCCTACACTGCTGAGCCACCTCTCAAGCAGTGCGCATACATTTATGCTGTGTCTAGTAAACATAAGTTCAATTTGTATCTATTTTCACCTATTTTCACCTCATAGAAAATAATTTCTATGAGGCCAGGGAGCTGGCTCGGTACGTGCTTGCAAACATGGAGACCTGAGTTTGGATCTCCACGACCCAAGTACACACCCAAGGCCCTAGGAGCTCCCTGGCCCGTCAGCCAGAACAGTGAGTTCTGGGATCAGTGAATGACCCCGCCTCAAAAAATAAGGTGAGCCACAGCAGAAGAGGACACCTGGTGTCAACCTCTGGCCTACACACACGCACACACACTTACACCCACCCACTCACCCACCACACACACAAACTTAAACACATTCACGTACACACAGACACACACACACGTTTTTAAACAAATGAACTTGCACAGTAAAGTGCTTAGTTGATAAGGATGAAGATGTTTGCAAATCTATGCAAGGCTGCCGCAAAAGGAGCAGGTGGAATTCTTTCCCCCGCAGCCTGACTTAAGACAGAAGAACAGTTCTCTACAAAATAATTTTGTGAGCTTAACCTGTTTACAGTTATTAACCCTGATGTTGTAATAAGGAAAATACTCTGAAAGTCTTAGTTTTGCCATTGATATTAGTAAAAATAGACAGGGCTCGTTAAGTCGCAAGGAACCATTGCTGCTCCCTGGTCACCCTCTGTCAGCACAAGGTCAGCCTTTCACTTGCGGTTTTGCCAAGAAAAGATCTTTCCGTACATAAATCAAATTATGCAAGATATCTAATATGATTGTAGTTTTTTTAAATTTCTATTGGTCAGGCAAAGATTAAATGATGATATTTGAATGTCAGCTGCCTAGGAAGTGTGTGTGTGTGTGTGTGTGTGTGTGTGTGGACTACACTCAGGATACAGAGTTAAAATGCTAATAAATGATGTCTTTTCACATTTTGCATATTGAATTTCAAGTGTTATTTACTTAACCACATTGGACTAGTTCCACACAGTGTAAGAACCAACAGTGTCCAGGGCTGTTCAAAAAAGGCGTGGACTACCAGAGTGCTCGATTTCTGTGACAGAAAGAAAGGAAAAAAATCACATTTATGCACCCTTTGCCATGTTTCGGCCATCAGCCAGTGCCGTGATATATATTTCATTTAATTCTCAGAGCCCCTACCCTCAGTTTTTACAGTGAGGAAAAAAGAAAACAGGAAATGACTGGTTCAAGTTACATAACTAAACCTCCATTGGAACCCAGATTCCCAAGTTCAAGACACAAGACCGACAACCAAGGCCACGCTCGTGTTTGTAATAGTAGCTGAAAAACCATTTGGCCTGGATCTTGCAAAGACACTGTGAGCTTCAGATACGTTTAATATTGGTTTTAATGTGTTTTATTACTACTTGAACAACAATTTGGCCTTTATGCTGTAAAGCCTCTGAGAACTTGAAAAGTTACCAAATAAAGGGCCCTCCTAATGCTCATTTTCTTTTCTCATTAAGTGTCTGAGGAGAACGGTCTTCTCTAAAACATCACTCTCTTATTGAGTCAATTAAGCATCTAATTTACCTAAAGAAAATGTTGGGCCTTCTGTAATCCTCAGATTTTATTTTATTTTGATAGAATATGTAGCTGTGCTCCATGACAACAATCTTTGGAACCTGAACTCGCTCAGCACACAGTAGGATCTCAATTTTCACTTCAGATGATCTTTTTGATAGTCATTTACTTAATTTAGCTGAGTGAGTTTTTCCTTTTCTAGTCTAATAGAACTCTACACAGTAATGAGAACCAAGATTATTATTGGGCTTATCAAGTGCACAGCATTTTTTTATATTTAATGTCCATATTCATTTACAGTCATTTCTTGTGTTCAAAGAATTGATTTCTATAAATGTGCACTGTAAGTCTCCAATTTCTATTACTATTTCTATTAAAATATCAAATTTGATTTCTGTAAATGCTTCTCATAATTATCCAATTTCCCTTTTTAATTTTATTTAAAAATCTTACATTTACTCATTAACAATGATGTGATTTTTTTTTGTAGCGACAATGACACAGTCAAGTTTCTCAGTGTTCTAAAATTCCCAACATGTCAGTATTTGAGATTCAAGGACTATAATTCAGTATTTCCAAGTATTCTCAAAATTTTCAAAATTATGATATTTTTCAGTATACTTCTAACAATATTCACTTTTTATGTAGCTAAAATTCTTGCTTAAAGTATAAAATGCACCGAGTTTAACAGTACTTGCAGAGAGCTACATCCTACAAGAATAATCTGTACAGACAAAATAGAAGAGGAGTCTAGTCAGTCCTTGGCATACACTAGTTTTAAATAACTAAACTGTTATTTGTCAGGAACAATCTGAGATATATGATGTCAAAGAATAATTCCAATTCTAGGAATCTGTAGCTCTCTTCTAAGAAGTTCAATATGCCTGTTCTTCCTCTCATCTGCCAACTTGGAAACTTTTCCTCAGCCCTTTTTTAATCTCAATATATCCTTCTGAAACTGGGGCAAATAGAACCAGATACGTTTTATTGATTTACATAGTTATATTTATGTGTGTGTTTCTGTGTGGGAGTATGTGCACATCAGTGCAAATGCTTACAGAAGCCAGAAGAGGGCGTCAGATTCCATGGAGCTGGAGTTGTAAGCCATTATGAGCTACCTAAAGTGGGTACTAGGGCCATTGCTGTGAGTAGAATAATAATTTTATCGAATTATTTTTTATTGTTGATGATACCCAAAGCCAGGAGGACATGTTCTTGGAACAAAAAAGTGGAGCTATCTTTGGGCAAACATCAACAGTGACTTTCTAGAATCTTTCTGTGGTCTCTTATCTTAAAATACAGGATGTGAGAGTAGTTTCCATAGTGTCCTTGATTACATTAATTTTCAGTTTTCACATTTCTTCCCACATAATGAAATTCATGATTGTCTTATAGTCTAGTCACCCTAATTTATTTCTTTTTTACATTATAATTTATTTATTTTTATAATATTTTTATTTTAGTTTTTATTAATTATACTTTATTCACTTTGTATTCCCCCATAACCCCCTCCCTCTTCTCCTCCCAAACCCACCCTCCCTCCCTCTTCTCCATGCATGCCCCTCCCCAAGTCTACTGGTATGGGAGGTCTTCCTCTCCTTTCTTCTGATCCTAGTCTATCAGGTCTCATCAGGAGTGGCTGCATTGTCTTCCTCTGTGGCCTGATAAGGCTGCTCCCCCATCAAGGGGAGGTGACCAAAGAGCAGGCCAATCAGTTCATGTCAGAGACAGTCCCTATTCCCATTACTATGGAACCCACTTGGATACTGAGCTGCCATGGGCTACATCTGAGCAGGGGTTCTAGGTTATCTCCATCAATGGTCCTTGGTTGGAGTATCAGTCTCAGAAAAGACCCCATGTGCCCAGATTTTTTGGTTCTGTTGCTCTCCTTGTGGAGTTCCTGTCCTCTCCAGGTCTTACTATTTCTCACTTCTTTCATAAGATTCCCTGCACTCTGCCCAAAGTTTGACCATAAGCCTCAGCATCTGCTTTGATACCCTGCAGGGTAGAGCATTTTAGAGGCCTTCTGTGGCAGGCTCCTGATTCTTCTGATGTCCATCCTAATTTATTTCTTAAAATGTAGCTCAGCTTATTGGATTTTACTTCACACATTTCCTAACTTACCAAAGGCAGGGATTTGTGTGCAGCCTAATCTATCCTCTGTTCTCCATCCTCTCCTGTGATAAATAGTGACAAGTGTCTAGTGAACAGAAAGAGAAATGAGGAAGGTCTTTAAGTGGAACCTTGAAGTATATCCTTGGAAATTAATGGTTAGGAAGATCTGAGTTAACATTTAGGAAAAATTGAAAGAAGAGCAAACTGAAGTTTTACCCTATAATATCCTTAGCCAACCTGACAACTCAGTTTTAAAATATTGTCAAATGTTATTAATTTGCAAGGAATATGGAAACATGTTTATAATGGAAACAGGAAAGATTTGAAGAAACTGGGAAGTGTGTCAGAAGTGCTCAGCACAAACCCTCACTTGATAGAGGGTCCAGGGCTGTGCTTGGGTAAAATTACCATGGAATTAGTTTGATAGAAATTTATTTTATTATGTTCCCTGCTCTTTTTTTTTTTTTTCAAAAGGAGAAAGTGTTAGCTTTACAGGGAAGCACTAAATCATAAGCCCTGATTCCTGGAAGAACTAGATCCTGAAGCTCGAAGCATGAT